CTTGTGACTGTTCCTTTAGCCTAGAGAAATTACATCAATGTCATTTCTCGTGCTTCTGACATATGGGCAGTGATGCTTTATTGTAAAAAATTCCCCGAGAAACAAAGGGTCCAAGGTCAAAACATTTCATAGGCATTACAGGAATGAATTGTAAACACAGTAACTCTAATAAAATCCAAACTCCCTGCTGATATAAAGGATGCAAATGAATGCAGCTTTGTATTTTTTAATACATCATTATAGTATTTTTAAAATGCAAAAACTGAAAGTATTTTGACTTGGTGTAAGCCTTTTGCAGTACCCTGAACAACAAAGCTCAGACTAGGAGACGGAGAAACAGCTGTGTTGCTTGAGAGCAAAGAACATGCTGATTTGAGGAGGCAGCCAATAGAGAGCAGTTTTTTTCCACATTTGGTGTGTCATCCAGATGCATTTTGCAAACTCCAGGACTTGTTATGTTTTTATTAGAAGTGGCTTTATTTCCCATTACTCAGTCATTGAGTTAAGGAAGATGATTTTCTACAATTGGGACAATTTTTTCTAACACAATTATTGGTGAGCTTACATAGTTATATAGTTAGTCCAGCTGAAAAAAGACAAAAGTCCATCTAGTTCAACCATAAAAAAAAAGTTATAATCCTATACCCACAGTTGATCCAGAGGAAGGCAAAAAAAACCCAGCAACGCATGATCCAATTTGCTCCTGCAGGGGAAAAAAAATTCCCGAGAGGTTATCGGATATTCCCTGGATCAACTTTACCTATAAATGTTAGTATCCAATTATATTATGTGTATCTAGGAAAGAATCCAGGCCTTTTGCCCTCCTGAGGATTTAACCCCCTTCCTGACCAGGCCATTTTTTTGCATTACGGCACTGCATTACTTTAACTGACAATTGCGCAGTTATTCAGCGATGCACCCAAATTAAATTTACGTCCTTTATTTCCCATGAATTGAGCTTTCTTTTGGGGGTATTCGATCGCCTGTGCTTTTTTTTTTTTCTGTTTGAAAAATGAAATAAAAAGACCGATAATTTTGAGAAAAAAAAACTATATTTTTGAATTTTTGCTACTAAACATGTCCAGTAAAAAAAAAAAAAAAAATGTCATCATGAATCTGGGCTAAAATGAATTCTGCTATGTCTTTCGTAAAAATAATCCCAATGCGTGTAAATTAACTGGTGTCTGTGAATGTTATAGCGTTTACAAATGGCGATATACAGTATATACTGGGAGTTTTTATTTTAATTTTTACTAGTAATGGTGGTGATCGGTGACTTATAGTGGGACTGCGGTGGGCATTCTGACACTGGTGGGAACTGACTTGGTGTCACTGACAACCCCAGCGACATCAATACAGTGATCAGTGCTAATAAAAAGCACTGGCACTGTACTAATGGCACTGCGCAGGAAGGGGTTAACATGTGGGGCAATCAAAAGGTTAACTGTGTGTTGTGTGCTATTTCACTATAAGCTGTGCTTCACTGTAATCACACTGCACGCAGCCATGCAAAGCATTCTGCATGAGCTGACAGTGAGGAGAACAGTGAGGGGATTGAGGAGATTGTTCGGCAATTACGAGGCGCCAGCAAGTATTTACCGGCCACAAACAGCGGCGTGGGTAGGGAGCACCCACCTCATGCACTCCCCTTACCCGGAAATGCAAAATCAACTATATATACGTCATTTTGCACACCCATGCTGCCCTGTAGCAGTATATATGCTATAGGGCAGTCAGGAAGCGGTTAAAGCAATTCACTGAGCTGGCCAGGACCAACTCTTGAGGAAGTCTATTCCACATTTTCACAGCTCATACTGTGAAGAAACCTTTTGGTATTTGGAGATAAAATCTCTTTTCCTCCAGACATAAAGAGTACCCCCTTGTCCTAAGGGTGAATAACTCTACACTGAGTTTACTATATGAACCAATTATGTATTTATGCATGTTGATGTATAAATCAACAACTTGTTTCAATAACTTATTTCCAGAATTGTTTGTTATTTTCTTGGTCTTCATGATGCTGTTTGTTTAGACATGTTATCTTGTGTATGGGACATTCTAGAACCAAGTGTATAGATGTATTCATATTCAGAATATAACTTTGTTGCCCTAGAGCAGCGGTTCTCAACCTGGGGGTCGCGACCCCTTTGGGGGTCGAACGACGCTTCCACAGGGGTCGCCTAAGACCATCGAAAACACATATTTCCGATGGTCTTAGGAACCGAGACACCGCTCCTCGCCGCCGCTGCCGCCACCAGCCGTCTCCAGGTGTGGGCGGGATGACATGCCGCCCCTGTCATCTGGACACACCTCGAGATCAATCCTCGCCTGTGATTGGCCGCCGGCACTGTAGCTCAGGCACACAGGCGGCCAATCACCGGCAAGGAGGTGGAGCTTGGAGAGGAGGAGCCGAGCCGCACCGTGAAGATCGAGCGAGTGAAGAGGAGGAGAGCGGCCGGAGAAGGAAGACAGCTGACAGGTAAGTGTCGGTACCATGGGAGAGGGAGGGAGCGAGCGAGCCCAGGCTGGAGCAGGGGTCAGCAAGGTAAGTATCACTGGTGTCAGTGGGAATAGTGCCCCATCATTGGTGTCACTAATACCAATGATGGGCACTATTCCTCCCACTGACACCAATGATGGGGCACTATTCCTCCCACTGACACCAATGATGGGGCACTATTCCTCCCACTGACACCAACAATGAGGCACGATTCCTCCCCCAAATGACACCAACGATGGGGCACTATTCCTCCCCCCCACTGACACCAACAATGAGGCACTATTCCTCCCCCACTGACACCAAGGATGGGGCACGATTCCTCCCCCCACTGACACCCAACGATGGGGCACAATTCCTCCCCCCACTGACACCAACGATGGGGCACAATTCCTCCCCCCACTGACACCAAGGATGGAGCACAATTCCTCCCCCCACTGACACCAAGGATGGGGCACTATTCCTCCCCCCTGACACCAAGGATGGGGCACTATTCCTCCCCCCACTGACACCAATGATGGGGCACTTTTCCTCCCCCCACTGACACCAATGATGGGGCACTATTCCCCCCACTGACACCTATGATGGGGCACTATTCCTCCCCCCACTGACACCAAGGATGGGGCACTATTCCTCCCCCCACTGACACCAAGGATGGGGCACTATTCCTCCCCCCACTGATACCAATGATGGGGCACTATTCCCCCCACTGACACCTATGATGGGGCACTATTCCTCCTCCCACTGACACCTATGATGGGGCACTATTCCTCCCACTGATACCGATGATGGGGCACTATTCCCCCCACTGACACCTATGATGGGGCACTATTCCTCCTCCCACTGACACCTATGATGGGGCACTATTCCTCCCACTGATACCGATGATGAGGCACTATTCCTCCCCACTGACACCGATGATGGGGCACTATTCCTCCCACTGACACCAATGATGGGGCACTATTCCTCCCACTGACACCAATGATGGGGCACTATTCCTCCCACTGATACCAATGATGAGGCACTATTCCTCCCACTGACACCAATGATGGGGCACTATTCCTCCCACTGACACCAATGATGGGGCACTATTCCTCCCACTGACACCAATGATGGGGCACTATTCCTCCCACTGACACCAATGATGGGACACTATTCCTCCCACTGACACCAATAATGGGGCACTATTCCTCCCACTGACACCATGATGGGGCACTATTCCTCCCACTGATACCAATGATGGGGCACTATTCCTCCCACTGACACCAATGACGTGGCACTATTCCTCCTACTGCAAAATTACAGTTATGAAGTAGCAACGAAAATAATTTTATGGTTGGGGGGTCACCACAACATGAGGAACTGTATTAAGGGGTCGCGGCGTTAGAAAGGTTGAGAACCACTGCCCTAGAGTGTATTGAGAGGATCCTCAGCAAAGTAGTTGATTATGTTGATTCCTGGGCCATCACATTTTTATTCTATTTGCAAATAAGTTGTGAAACATTATGGACTATTTTGTATAGATCAAATACATGTAAAGATAAAAAAATCTTTACTGCATTGAAATCAATAGAGTGAGAAACAAAACTGACTTAATGCACTATGTACCTGTAATAATATGAAGCCAAAAATACTTTACATACATTTTTCTCTCACTATTATTGTTTTCATTGACACATTTGCATACATCTCGAAAATGACAGAATGAATGAATGAGTTTGGATCTATTCACCCACCCTATAAGCCAGCTGTAAGAGCACATAATATCATTTAACAATGGGTAAGTTGAAGGATCTGAATAAGTAATGCTTTCAAGGAGCAGAGTGGCTTTGGGCTACTGATTTCACATGGCACACACAAAGGAAATGCAGTCTTAAATAAGACACAGTTCAATCCATCCTGACACAAAATGGTTGTGGGCATGAAGAACGGCACCGGCTTAGACACAATTGCCAGAATGATTTATTTAAGTAAGTGATGTTTTCAAAGTGTAAATCACTTTGGGGAAACTAGCATTTGTTATTTTCTGAAAGCAGCACTGAGGAAGGTTTATGCATTTTTTTAAATTGAAGGTACATTAGTTTTAAATATAATTATTTCTTTATTATGGTCAGGGTAAAAAGACACCCATCAGACATTTTAGGTCTTTCTGGTGCATGATTGCACACATTAGCATGTGGTACAGTACAGTTTTCATTTCATTGCACATTACCACAATGCATGAATCTACAGGGCAACCTAAAATATTTTTTTGTAGTCTGACAAACATGAAGTATTGCATATGAGTATTATTTTTTAATTTCTAGCTAGACAGTGCAGTGCTTGATTCCTTTACACATTTTGCTGTGTGAAAAAACTGCTGTTTTCAGAGCATTTTCAGGGCAAGCTATATTTTACTGCTGAGACCAGATGTGGTCATAGCTTGTGCTGAGCACATAGAAGAAAAGGTCTATGATAGGGTGACCTGGAAGGCAGGAGAAGAGTTAAGAATGGGTGGGGAGTGCTTTAACCACTTCCCCTCCGGCCCATGTATATAAACGGCTGGACGGGAGCAGTGCAGGATGGGTTGCTGTTCATAAATGGTGCCCGCGACTTTAGCCTGTGCGCTTTCCCTCGGCAGCATCTCCTTCCTCATAGAAGAGTTTAACCACCTCCCGTCCGGCCGTTGTGTCCTCCAGACACAGCGGAACACTGATCGCTGTACAGGACCTCTGTGTGAGGTCCCGATCATGTGATCACTGATTGGCCAATCAGTGATCACATGAATAGTAGTAAGAAAGATGTCACTTCTGACATCATTGCTTACTACGTGTGAAATCTGTGAATGATCACAGAGGTCACATGGTACGAGGCTATTCACAACAGCCATGTACCATGTGACAAGCTATGACCAATCACAGCTCTCACAGTATTTCTCAATGGCTGCAAGAATACAGCCAGAGAGAAAGAGAAATGATTGCTTTTACAGCCTTTATGGGTGTAAAAGCAATCAGTGTAAAAAAAAAAAAAAATCTTCATCACCCCCCACAAGTAGTACAGTGTCACTATGGTGACACTATACTGCTAGGGTGACAGTATGTTAAAAAAAAAACAAGTAATAGTATAAAAAAATAAAATAAAAATGTAAAACATTTTTTTTAAATTGTAATTTTTGGTTATAACCTAACTTGGGTTATTGTTTTTTTTTTTTTTACTAAAATGATAAATGAATACATTTTGGTCGAGATTTATAAAGAAAGATTATTTATTTGCAAAATTTTTATAAGAAAAACACTTTTTTTAAAAAAAATTTGGACTTTTTCATTTATATAGCAAAAAAAAAAAAAAAAATCCCAGTGGTGAATAAATACCACCAAAATAAAGTTTTATCTGTCTCAAAAAATGCTAAAAAATTCATATTGGTACAGTCTTGTATGACCGCTCAATTGTCATTCAAAGTGTGACAGTGCTGAAAGCTGAAAATTGGCCTGGACAGGAAGGGGGTAAAAGTGTCCGGACTTGAAGTGGTTAAGGATATAACATAAGGAGCAAGGAGAATGTGGTCATAGCTTAAGAAAACCTCAAGGAGGAAAAGACAGCATGGAGAGCAATTTGGCCCACCCGCCCACACTCTTGCTAAGTGTGTGGATATGGCTATGATTGAAAGTGCATATGTTTGGGGAACTGAGTTATAAGAAAAGGATAGGGGACTTGTGGTCATATTGTACTTTTGTCACAGCATCGGCAGGTAGGTCCTTGATGGTGCCAAAAAAGTAAGATTATGGGTACATAGTTAGTCCATCTAGTTCAACCATAAAAGGAAAAATGTTTGGTAATGTTTGGAAACGTGGTTTAAACGTAACACATATCAATATGTATGATTCTGTGGTGTTCATGAATGAAGTACTTACTAAGGTTTATTATGGGTGAATAATGGTGTATACTCACTGGCTGGTGGCAAGTATGGGTTTACAATGGAACTTGATAATCCAGGTGAATAATGGTGTAAAAATTACTGGTGCATGCCCACCGAGCTTGTAGTAGATGGCTTTTGACTGGTTTGGGTTAGCAAAGGAATATGTTATTAGGTGGCACTGTCAAGGTCCTGTCTTTAATAGTTGTATCAAAATTCTTGCATGTTTTTAGAGAACTGGTGTCTAAAGCATGTTATTGTTATCTTGTTATTTAATAAAATCTGTGGCCATTGTACTCTAAGAAAAATAAATTATCATATTGTCTTATTTGAGTTTTAATGTGTTTGATTTTGATGTTCAACATGTTTTGATGTTTGATGTAACTCCGCACTCTCAACCCTACCTGAGTCAGGTGAATGTAAGAGGTGTAAGGGATGTGCTAGTAGGAGACTCTCTCATTTGTTCTTAACGAGAAAAAAATGTCTTTGCATACTTTAATAATGGAAAAATATTACATTCATTTGAACTAATAGAATAATTACTGTATAGTCACAGTGTTATTGGATACAGCCAAAGTCATTAAAGACTTAAATGTGGTTTTAAAGTGGAACTAAATCCATAAATGTAACTGTTTACTGAAAGTTACATAAAAGTATTCAATTGTCACAGTTGCTGGTGCTTTTTAACAGAATTGTGAAGCCATCAAATGACTAGTGTCATAACTGATCACATGACAACTGTACAAACAAGGCTAAGATGGCAGGTTTTTTGGCCTTTAAGGATGGAAAGGATTATTTCTGCTCTAGATGACCCCGTCACCACCGGGTCACTCATAAACAAGGGCAGCCCTGTAAAGAATAGCAGTATACTTAATTTTCCAATGGACCATGTCTCAAAATGCTTCCGCATCACCTTGACCATGGCCAGTATTCCATAGTTCTGGATGTGTGAATACCTTCTGCTCTCCCAGGTGGGAGGAACCACTGCATGCAGGAAAAGAACTACCTGCAAAAGCTGTAAAGCAGTGAAGAGGCAGAATGTCAAAAACACAGATTTCTTATAGCGTTTTTATTTCTGTCTTCTATTTTCATGGGACATGAACTGATAGGAAATAGGGATAGAAAATACAACTGGTCTTTTATCTAGTGCAGCAGGGGTGGTTAGAAATCTGTCAAGTTTTTTTTGCTGTATTTCTGTTTAGATGAAGCATGCATGCTCCTTTCATCCTTTTCTTTGTGTCACATGGAGATCTCTCCAATTATGCCACATGGATGGATTAATATATTATTATATTAGTTTTACATGTCAATTCTTAGTAATTTGCAATGAACTGTTCGGTGATCCTGCCAGTTCCCCTTCCTCTTTCAATATGATCGCACCAAGCATGGAAGCAGATCAATGCTGGTGTGGTCAATTTGCCTCCCTGTGTTTGCTGCTTTGAGATTCAAGTTGTCATGGTAATACATGCCTGTATCACTGATAGTCACCTTCTTCTCTCAGTCTGTGACAGGTGGGACATAATAATTGATTGACAGCCCCACTGTTATACAGTATGTCCTCACAGTTCCTGGGATTAGTGACATTTAGGGCTGTCACTAATCAATTGTTTACTTTTATTATTTAACAAAATGCAAAGTGAGTGAACAGAAGGAAAATTTAAATCAAATCAGTATTTGGTGTGACTATCCTTTGGCTTCAAACCAGCATCAATTCTCACACTTACACACTATGTACACTTATACAAAGTCAGGGATTTTGTAACATTACAGTCAGTTGTATGATTAACCAATTATACCAAGAAGGGGCTAATGATCATCAATTTCATATGTAGCTTTAAACACAGTCATTAGCTGAAACAGCTGTGTAGGAGGCTTAAAGACATATCATGATCACTCCCCTTCAACATCAAAAGTTATCTATTAGTGCCAGTAGCACAGAACTGGTGGAAACCAGTGGGGCACAGGTACACCCATCTACTGCCTGGAGAAGAATGGCCAAAAGTGGCCTTTCTGGAAAAATTATGGCCAAAAAGCCATACCTCCAACATGGAAACAAGACTAAGTGACTCAACTAGGTAAATTGAATCCTGTCTAAATTGGCCCTAGTATGTGTGTATGTGAGTTAGGGACCTTAGATGGTAAGCTGTTTGAGGGCAGGGACTGATATGAATGTACAGTACATATGTAAAGCGCTGTGTAAATTGACAGCACTGCATAAGTACCATACATAAATAAGTAAATAAGTCTGGGAAGCAGAAAAATGGCAGCAAGTGCTTTGAACTGATGATTCAAACTTTTAAAGTTTGTTTGCCAAAGGGCTGGGGTGCGGTGCAATAATGAGTGTCTGCAGACAACAGTGAAGCATGGTGGAGGTTCTTTTCAAATTTAGGACTACATTTTATGCAAATAGGGTTGGAGAGTTCATCAGGATCAGGATCTGGAATTGATGCTGCTTTAAAGGCAAAGGGTGGTCATGCCAAATATGGATGTGATATGGATTGCTCTTCTGTTCATTTAACTTCCATTTTGTTAATTGATATAAAAAAACTATTAACACTTCTATTTCTGAAAGCATTCTTAATTCACAGCATTTTTTACACCTGTCTAAAACTTTTGCACAGTATTGGATATCACTCACAATCCCTGCACTCCCTCCACTTCATCTGGACAACACAAATAACATTTAGACAAATATTGGTTAGGTTTATTCTTCATGCTTAAAACTGTTGCTAGCCAATTTTACACTGCTTTATCATCTGCTGTTTCTTAATTCTTGTAGTAAAATGTTTTGAGTATATTTTGTCCTAGCACTGATCAGGAAAACAGTCCTGCCACTTTTCAATTTTTCACTGCTGTGTCTTAATTCTTCTAGTTGAACACCTGCCTGTGCCTTGTGTCTCTAATACTTTCAGCATAGTCTTGTATTTTACAATTGTTCTTTTTTAAAATAGCTTGCCCAATAGCCCTTAAAATAGGCAGAGTGTACTAACAGGAGTGTTATAGCTGTGTGTACCTGGCAACCGAATAGCTGTGTGTGTAGCAGCCATTTTGTTCAGGTCACAAGTCTTCAATGCCATTTTGTCAGTAGAGAGAAATGGTCACAGTGACCTTCTCTGTCCCACTCCCTCCTCCTTTCAGCTCATACAATCCAAGCTGCTACTAGACACACCTTATCAGTCTGGTAATAGGACTAGCAGGATCTAATCCCCAAAACACATTGCAGGGCCCATAAAAGTGTCTAACTTAGCCACGTCAGTGACTAGAAAGTTAACAGACATTGGGTCAAAAATTCCTTAGGCCACTTCCGGATCCGGCGCCGCATGTGAGGACGGCGAGACCCGCGGCTCCGGCTCTTCTTTTCTATAAAGCCGGCATACCACAGCAGGGGACACTTTAAAGCGGCACAAAAGTGCCCCCCGATCCCCCCCTCACTTACCAGGCATGGATCGCTTCCTGCTCCCGGTCCCAAACGGCCCTGGATCGGCAGGGGAGACAGAGAGATGCAGCTCTCCCCCTTCTGCAGCCAAGATGGCTGCCGATCACAGCAGCAGCAGCAGCAACAGCATGGACACAGGACAAGGTATGGCAGAATCACACACACAAGCCATTACCACACTGAGGCAAGCTGACACCTGTAGTCCCACGGACCAATATGACAAAATAGCACAAGCTGTTGCTTCACTACTGTTACCCACTATTACTAATGCAGTGGACAGAGCAGTGGCACAGGGCATAGAACAGCTTAGGCGTGACATGGGTGAAAGCGCTAAACGCATAACTGAGGTGGAACAGCGCCTATCAGACCTAGAGGATGACCTTCAAGCCATTCGGGCGAAAAACGCACACTCCTCACGTACCCAGATATCTATCTTGGAAAAAATTGATGACCTGGAAAACCGGTCACGTAGGAACAATTTACGTGTCATAGGCCTTCCAGAATCATTTAATCTAGGCACCCTAACGGATATATGTTCCACGCGTATTCCCGCTGCATTGGGCATACCCACGCCATG